GAGTGGATCCCTGAAAACGTCAAAAGACCAGGTTGAAGAGCATCTGAGAATCATCTATACTGATGAGAAAAAAGATGAAACTATCGTTGTCCCCACTGACATCCCTCCAATATCACCACCACAACATCAGTTTGATATCAGCCCTCCAAAGCTGAGTGAGGTGAAGCAGGCAGTGAAAAAGGCAAGATCGGCATCTGCACCAGGCCCTAACGGCGTACCGTATAGTGTCTACAAGAACGCTCCAGATGTTTTGAAAATTCTGTGGAAAAACATGAAAGTGGCGTGGGAAAAGCAAATCATCCCGAAAGCCTGGCGAAGAGCGGGAGGGGTGTTCATCCCAAAAGAAAAGAACTCAACGACCATTGAACAGTTCCGCCAGATAAACCTTCTGAACATTGAAGGCAAGATCTTTTTCAGTGTGTTGGCACAGCGACTGACACAGTATTTAAAACAAAACCACTTTATTGACACATCAATTCAAAAGGCTGGCATTTCAGGCTTTTCGGGATGCCTGGAACATAACAGCATCATATGGCATCAAATTCAGACTGCAAAGAAAGAAGGGAAAGATCTCCATGTCTTGTTCCTTGATCTGGCCAATGCCTATGGGTCAGTCCCTCATTCAATTCTGTGGGCTGCCTTTGAGTTCTTCCAGGTGCCGACTATAATCACAAATTTAGTGAAACACTACTTCCAGGATCTACAGTTTTGCATTACAACGTCAGGCTTCACCACAAGTTGGCAACCACTGGAAGTAGGCATCATGGCGGGGTGTACCATCTCCCCATTGGCCTTCACGATGGCAATGGAGATCATTATTAGAGCCTCGAAATGGGTCGTGGGAGGAGAACGACTACAATTTAATCAGAGGTTACCACCAATTCGAGCCTATATGGACGATCTAACAACACTCACAACAACTGTCCCCTGCACCAAGAGATTGCTGGAAAAACTTTATCAAAATATAACATGGGCGAGGATGAAGTTAAAGCCCAATAAGTGCAGAAGCATCTCCATAGTGAAAGGCCAAGTTACAGACCAGAGATTTCACGTCGGCGGAACACCTGTCCCAACTGTCTCAGAAATGCCAGTAAAGAGCTTGGGGAGATGGTATGATGCGAAGCTCAAAGACACCGAGCAGTTTGAACAACTAAAAAATGATACCAGCATGTATATGGAGCGCATCAACAAGACCTTGTTGCCAGGAAAACTCAAGTTATGGTGCTTTCAGTTTGGCATACTCCCAAGACTCTTGTGGCCGTTAACTGTGTATGAGATCCCCCTCTCTAAGGTTGAAAAGTTGGAACGGCTGATAAGCACACAGCTAAAGCAGTGGCTTGGAATTCCACGTTGTTTAAGTTCCGTCGGACTTTATGGACATGGCAAGTTGGAATTACCAATCACAGGGCTCGTGGAAGAGTTCAAATGCACCAAAGCAAGGCTCGTCATTACCCTAACTGAATCTGAGGATGCAGTCATTCGAACAGCGGCCCCCCGGGTGGTAGCTGGAAGGAAGTGGACTCCATCAGAAGCTGTTCAGAGTGCAAAGTCTGCGCTTCAGTTCAGAGATGTGGTTGGACAAGTACAGCATGGGAGGGCAGGGTTCGGACTTATCCCAAAAACTGTTCTGTGGCATAAAGCAACATCAGTGCAGAAGAGACAGCTAGTGGTAGAAGAAGTCAGGAGACAGGAGGAGGGAGAGCGACATGCAAAAGCCGTCTCAATGGCCAAGCAAGGGAGACGGACCAATTGGGAGGGTCTGGAGAAGAAAAAGCTCAGCTGGCGTGACATCTGGCAGATGGAGGGAGCGCGGCTGAGTTTTTTTCATCAGAGCCACATACGACCTGCTACCCTCCCCCCAAAATCTGAAAGAGTGGTATGGAGAAGATCCCGCCTGTTCCCTGTGTCAAGTACCTGCATCCCTAAGGCACATTCTATCAGGGTGCACTACAAGTCTCACCCAAGGGCGCTATACTTGGCGGCATAACCAAGTACTCAGAGAGCTGGCATCAATACTGAAACAAAAGCGAACCACCACAAACAATCTCCCACAAACATCGGCAAGACAGGTCAACTTCACAAATTTTGTACCAGCTGGCCAATATCAAGAGCAAAGTATAACACCTAAGGATGCAAGCATCCTGCAGTCAGCGCGGGATTGGAAATTGGAAGTGGACCTTGATAAGAAGCTTGTGTTTCCCCCAGAAATAGTGGCTACAACACTCCGGCCAGACATGGTCCTGTGGTCTCCATCAACAAAGCTGGCATATGTTGTGGAATTAACAGTACCATGGGAAGATGGGGTTGAAGAGGCTTATGAGAGAAAAAAAAACAAATATTCCGACCTGGCAGCTGAAGCATCCCAGAACGGCTGGAAGACCAGTATCTTCCCAGTAGAGGTGGGATGCAGGGGATTTGTTGCCACATCTACCACCAGGTTGCTGAGAAAAATAGGGGTGAAGGGTCGCTCTCTCCAACAGGCCATCAAGTCCATGTCAGATGCTGCCGAAAAAAGCAGTAACTGGCTTTGGATCAAGCGCAAGGACCCCAACTGGGCAGCAAGGTAGAGACAGATGGTATGCGGTCAGGCTTAAGCCCAACTCAGGGAGAAGGACGCCCCTGCCATGCAGAGCCCATCAGGAATATGGAGGGTATGGCATGGAGGGGGGTGTACCTGGGACGCTGGGTACACCGTTGAGCCTTCTGGAGACGTTGTGGGCTTCAACCTGATGACCCCAATGACATACCTTACCCTCCTTTTCACCACTCCACACCGACTGCTACTGTCAAGAGTTTCCTACTTAAGGGATTGAAACATCTAGTTCTATTAGCTTTACAACCCAGCCTAAACAAACTACTTTTCTTGCCTATAAATTTTGATACAGAATTTGTTTTATTTTATCACTTCGGGGTACGCGAGCCGGAATTCCCAACGCTTTATCTGTACAGTGGGAAAGGGATCCTCCATAGGGTGGGAAAGGGATCCTCCATAGGGAGAGGATAGTGGATACTTCAGCACTGCATTGTCATCGGGTCCAGGCAAAGCTCCCTCGTCAGATCTAGACACGGCCTGGATCCGGCAGGCTGCGGGAAAACCTCGGAATAAACAGAGAGACTAATATTAGCGTAGATGCCATTCTTCTTATGATGTAACGAGTACATCAAGATTTAAGGGAAGTGTTCCCAGTTCCGGCTGACCTAATCTATGCAGCCTAACATTGATTTATAGAAGTCTATAGTGTGTTATGTGTATGCTAGGTCAAAGACATGTGTTTTTAGTCTAGCTTTGAACTGACAGAGTGTGTCTGCTTCCCGGACAATGGTAGGAAGACTGTTCCAGAGTTTTGGTGCTAAATAGGAAAAGGATCTCCCGCCTGCAGTCGATTTAGATATTCTAGGTATTATCAACTGGCCGGAATTTTGAGATCGCAATAGACGTGAAGGACTATAATGCGTTAAGAGCTCGCTCAAGTACTGCGGAGCTAAACCATTTAGTGCTTTGTAAGTAATCAACAATATTTTAAAATTTATACAATGTTTAATAGGGAGCCAATGCAGTGTTGACAGAACCGGGCTAATATGGTCATATTTCCTGGTTCTGGTAAGAACTCGAGCTGCGGCGTTTTGAACTAGCTGTAGTTTGTTTATTAAGCGTGCAGGGCAACCACCCAGTAGAGCATTACAGTAATCTAGCCTTGAGGTCATGAACGCATGGACTTAGTAGTGGGAACTACTAAGGGAACTACTTTTACTGATATATGATGAAATATTATTTAAGATCTACATCTGTTTACAATTTCATCTTAACATGGTTATAAGGCCTCGGGGAATGCGTGATTTTTGCATACGAGTGGTTTGTAAATTTAGAAAACACTTTTGTTTGAGAAAATGTTCATATACAGATTCAGGCACACATTTGTGAGTGTGAATGCCTAGTGAATGGGACCCATTGTTTTTATTCGAAGTGAAAGATTAGCATTAGCTGAAGGGGTCTTGCCCAGGGGGAAATGCCCAGGCATGCAGTTATAGGGATCGGTTGAGTCTTAGAGAAGCATAACCTCTGCTACTCACATTTTCTCCAAGCCTAGACCATTATCAGAAGTCATGTCCTGACCTTTTTATAGGTGATCAATCCCTTTATGAAGAGGACAATTAAATGTGCATCACTCCTTTAAGTAAACCGATTTTATTTTCAAAGAAAAACAAAAGGACCATCAGGAAAATACAGGACTTCCTGTCATATACAGAGAGGACGTACGATACAGTGCCACGACTGAAAACAGACAACCAGTCAGCCAAGAACATATTCAGCGCTGAGGAAACACCATCTGTATTATTATTATTATTAATAACAAGAATTATGGTTGAAATATATCCAAACAATATCTTAAAATAAAACACAACGATGAACATTAGATTTACAAAATTTTGCTCGTTTAAACTTGCTTTCTTCTTTTTTTGTTCCGGTCACTGCATTAGGCAATAACTGCAACCTCACAGTCGCTGGTTGTGTCTTAACTGTGTGTAGGACTGAGGGATCTTCAAAGGTAACGCTTAGAAAAAGGGGAAGAAAGAGCGCCAAACCAGTTTCTAAACATGTATGTCCACTTTTAGGTTTTGCCACTGGCACAATTCACTTTCTTTTAACTCACTGAAAGTTTAACAGCTTTGTTAAAATACTAAAGTCAAATCTAATACTAATTATCACAAGAAACAGAACTGTAAAAATTATAGAACATATAAATCTATAAATACTGTGTGTGGGGAGAGCAGAAGTGAGGCATGAACTAAAAAGAGAAAATAACTCCAGAAATCATAATAGACATGATCATTTTGAGAAAGAAAAGATATAAAAGTAAAACCATAATAATAATAAAAACCCTAGAATCACCAAAAAGCTTTCTGTGGTGAGCGTCTCTTGACTCATGCATGCTCATCCCTTCCTTTCATATGGTTCAGTTCCTTAACAGCACAGTCCTGCCTTTTATAAATATATACAGTTCAGTTACAAATGATAATAATAATAATAATAATAATAGTCCATGACCAAGACAGTCTTTCTCATCAAATTGAAGGTAATGTTTCCATAACAGAGATTAAGTTATTACGGGATGTCTAAACTCGGTTTGTATTCTCAGATCAACATTGTCGCTGCCTGATGAAAAACGCATATCTTGGAACAAAGGGCATCATAAACAATCATACAAAATGAATTAAATGTCAGTTTTATAACTAGGGTTTCTGGTCTGGATGAGTGGACCGTTCGGTTCCAAGTCCAGTGCATAAAACGCCAGAACTAGCTTTCACTCGCGGTCTCATACGCTCTTCAAAACAGAAGGATAGGACACAAGGTGTTGACGCGCTCTTCTCAGGGCCAGTGGAGATACTGGTTCAACAGATACGGATTAAACCTCTTTCATTGGTCATTTCAATGTAGGAATGAGGCCACTGTCATCGGACATGTGAGGGAAGAGGGAAACGAGAGAAGACAAGAAAAGATGTGGCACAGCACAGTCCACGTTAAAGTGACATCTATCCAAATCCCCGTTTTTGATGTGCCGAAAGCAAACCCGAGGCTAACACAGCTGTCCGCTTCCTGTTGACATCACGTGACCACTAGCGGATTCAGAAGATGGTCCATAAAGCTCTGCTTGGGAACACTGGAATTCTATCAGCAAATGTTGAGACTCTCAGGCACCGTCCACATTACTGCAACTACTCGGCTTAGTAAAAACAAATGAATAAAACAAAACTAGAAATAAATAACCCATAAATAAAAATACAGGACAAAAAGCCATTTTGTGTTTCACCATTGTTATGACACTATGTGTGACTGAGAGACACATTAGCAGAATTTCACCGTTCCTCTCAGCCGAGTCAGATTTTATTAAACTCTAGAGAAAGACATTTACACAGACTAGCAATAATACTGTAGAATACTCGAGCCAGTTCCTCATGCAGCACGCTGCAAAGGGACGCAGATGTGTGTGTGTCAGTCCTTCAGCAGGCTCTGGCGTGTGTGTGGCCTGGCCTGGCCGATCCTGGAGAAACGTCAGTGGTCGATCCGGGTCATCGCTGCGATTACCAGCTGAGGAGAGAGGTCCGACCCAGAGTCATGAAGTAGACCTGGCTCGAGCCTCCCGAACGCACAGATGCGAAGAACACCTGCAGGAAACATCCAGCATCCAAACCATCATCAACTACAACCGAATCTAGCAGAGGGTACAGTTTCAACAGATCATCAAAGCGTGAGTTATCAATATACACTCCCTTTAGTACAGGGCCGTTTGAAGGAATTTGGGGGCCCCAAGCAAAATGGACATGGAGGCCCCCCACTCCATGTCCATTTTGCTTGGGGCCCCCAAATTCCTCTGCCTTTTTCAGGTTAAATAATGTTTATAGATGGGTAAGGTTACAAATTATTTATTAAGTAGAAAGACTGTTTGCTAACAGTTAAATGACAATTAACTAAATATTAAATAACTAACAATTTACCATCTATTAATGATTGTTATTATAAAGTGTTACAGAAAACTTAAAGATATGTTAGCATTTCCATATTTTGATATTAGAAGGGAAGGGATGCTGCTTTCACTACCAATGCTTAAAAACATCCCAAGCTAATGTTTGATGCACGGAATTTATTGTGTGGTTTTCCTAACCCCCATTGGTAAATAGATTACCACGGTGGAATAGTTATGCTATGCCACTTTCATCAAAACCTATTAGCTATAGCAATGTCATGTCATTAAATACGATAAACAGTGATTCTGGAACTCCTTAAACCGTTAAAAAACATATTACAGTATGTAACGTTAACCATATTCCGTCCGTTCGAAAAAAATTTGCACTAACTGTTCGTTACAAGCAGCATTTGCCGTCAGACAGGTAGCTAACATAAACATATTTTTGCTAGCCTAATGTTACCTGCTGCAAAATTACACCATTTGTACAAGACAAGTAGAGCTATTTTTATGCAGTGTAATTTATTCCTTTACCACTATCTGGTATTTTTCTCTTCCTTTCACTTCTTTCTTTTCTGGCTTCCTGAAGCATAATTCAGCTTCATGATAACTCCCGAGGAGGTATGTATTTTGCCGGCAGCAGAGATCACGTGGTTGGCTGGCTGCTGTCAGCGACTACTGAGGGGGCCCCCTTGAGGGGGATTCCGATAAAAGTGTCATTGTACTTTACTGCATTGACTATCAAAGGGGCGCTCACAGTTTGTCGTTGCATTTTATTCTTAAACAGTCGTTGTCTTGGGGCCCCAGTCCAGCTCGGGGCCCCAAGCAATTGCTTGGTTTGCCTGTCCTGTTCCGACGGGCCTGCTTTAGTATATCAGGGTGAATCTCACTCAAGCAGGCCAGAGTGAACGCGGATCACGCTGATTTCCACGGACAATAATAATGAGAGATAAATCATTAATGTGTTGATTTGAATAAAGAATCATCATTAGACTGTAAAACACAACGAACATGCATCCCTCTGTCTTTCAACAACAGCGTTTATCTCTTCAGGGAAAATCAATGAAGGAAAACATTCATTATTATTATAACCTTTATTTTCCCAGGAAAGAAAGCACAGTGTGCAACGGTTCACTTTAATAGTTAACCAGGTCCAATCAAATGCTGGGGATGTGATATGTGACTACTAGGGTTGCCAACCGTTCTGTATAATACGGAATCGTCCCGTATTTGACACATAAAAGTCTTGCTCCGTATTGAACGGATACGCAACGCACTTTGTTCTGTATTTTTGAGAATCTATTCAGTGCAAATCCATGACAGACGCATAACTTCTAATATATACGTCAGACAGACTGTGAATGAATTCGGGGACTATCTGAGGCCACGGCCGCTCGGCGGGCTCTGACGTGTAATGACGTGGAGTTGGCTCATTGGGCGCCCGCGCCATTGGCTGTGCAGTTGCCGTAGCGCAGCCTATGAGCGAGCCAGACACTCACTGTGCAGCTGCAAATGCGTTTTACATAAGGCTTCAGTAAATCGAGGACATTTGTAGGCTATGATAAGAAAAACTTTTGATTAAAAATATTATTTTTTGCACTGGAAAGAACATTCTAGAAGTCTAATTCTATTGAATAAGTTCGCACAAGGCTACAGAAAACTGTTGCGTTTATTTTTCTTCAAATGCAGTCTAAGCCAATGAGTTTTGAATGTTATATGTTGTATTTGTTTAAGATAAAAATAAAACGTATTATAAACTAAACAAATCCATGGTTCATTGTTGGCAAAATGATCATGATAGCCTTTATATATCTATGTGGTTCAGTCTTGTATATTGATTAGGCCTACTTTGCTATTATATAAATATATGTAGGCCTAATAAGTTGTAAACTATAATGTATGATAGCATACAATATTCACCAGAAGTCATCATTTCAGGGGTTATTTAAAAATAAAAATAAATCCGTGGGGGCATGTCAACCCCCAACCCGTTCCTTATTTCAATTTCAGAAAGTTGGCAACCCTATATGTAACGGCTGCTGTATATGACAAACTCATAAAGCCAATATCCAGCCTTTGCTTGGGCTGAATGCAATTTCTTGTGTGTGTGTTATTTTGATGGGAGTAAATCCTGTGTTTATGCTATTAAGGAAACTAAATATTGCCAAAGAAGACCTTTTACTTTAGTTAAATATTTAATTTAAAAGCAGCCTACTTCAGTGTAATATAATACCGTATCATAATAATAATAATACATTACATTTATATAGTACTTTTCTCAACACTCAAGAGCTTTACATATGGAAGAGGGAATCTCCTCAACCACCACCAGTGTTCAGCTCCACCTGGGCCAGAACGCCCACCACACACACACACACACTAGCTTACTGGTGGAGAGGAGACAGAGTGATGAAGCCAATCAGTATATGGTGATGATTAGGAGGCCATGGTGGACAGAGGCCAAGGGGCAAATTTGGCCAGGACACCAGGGTTACACCCCTACTCTTTATTGAAGGGATCTTTAATGACCACAGAGAGTCAGGACCTCGGTTTAACGTCTCATCTGAAGGGCGGTGCTCTTTGACAGTATAGTGTCCCCGTCACTACACTGGGGCGTTAGGACCCACACAGACCACAGGGTGAGCACCCCCTGCTGGCCTCACTAACACCTCTTCCAGCAGCAACCTGATTTTCTCAGGAGTCTCCCATCCAGGTACTAACCAGGCTCAGCCCTGCTTAGCTTCAGTGGGCAACCAGTCTTGGGCTACAGGGTGATTTGGCTGCTGGCTATCATCATGCTTAACACTGAGAATTAAAATAATTGTAATGTGTCGATCGGATGCAGATATCTAAATCAGAGGAAATCATAGGTGTGGGTGGATGGTTTATATTTAGCAGCGGATTCGAGTGACGTTCGACCTGATCCTCACATCTCTAATGTCCTGACAGGAGCCGGTCACATTTTACCCCCAAATCGGTGACATTTTTCAGAAAGAAAAAATAACCATTTAATTCAAAATACAAATTCCAAAAATAGACTTAACTTTCACAGGGTTCCCACACCTTGGTTACCTTCAAATTCAAGGACCTTTCAAGGACTTTCCAGGTCCAATAGCCTCAAATTCAAGGACTTAATGTGGGGACACATTTCAAGTGAGAGCAAGGTTACATTCGTGTTACTTTGTAAGATACATTGTTACAGTTTTATGTGTCAAACACAACTATGCAAAAAATTTGCATTGATTTTTGGCCATATGACAGAGGAAATTAAAATAGTCAAAAGAAAGATCTCTATGTAAAGCACTTTGAATTACCATTGTGTATGAAATGTGCTATATAAATAAACTTGCCTTGCCTTGCCTTGATATTCTATTTGTCGTATTTCTTTTTAGTATAAAACTGAAGAATATTCCGTAAATCCTATACTGTATTCTAAAATGATCTGATATTAACTTTTGCATGAAACCGGGAAACGTTGAGGTACCATTGTAGTAGTTTCGTGCGAAAACACTTAACGGGAAACACTTAACATAACGCGTAAATGTGCGAAACGTAAATCCAGCAAGCTAGTCTGAATTGGCCCCGAAGTGTTGCGAAATAACACATTAGCGGACTTGAGGGAATAATATGGAATTTTTTCCAGAAAAGTTCTCACAAAATAAATTCAAGCACTTTCAAGGACCTGTATCTGTGTGTTTATTTTCAAAAACTTTCCAGGTCCTTGAATTTTTTTACAGATTCAAAACTTTCAAGGATTTCAAGGACCCGTGGGAACCCTGCTTTCAAGGTATAGCCCAGTAACTGATTTTACAGCAAAACACTAAAAGATGACGTAAAGACTCACCTTGTCATTTCTTTCACACAGAAACTTGAGTCTTTGTGCTCTTTTGTGCATGAAAACTCCATCCAAGTGGCCTGTTTCTACAGAGCGGATCTCTATAGCCTTCTCTCCCCAGCCCATGATCTGGTTAGAGCGAATATAAGCTGCAAGACAAACAAAAAAATATAGGTAAGAAATAACAATTTGTTAACAAATACACACTATGATAGGATAAATTCAGTCTCTCTCTTGAGCTGTATTGCAGAGGTCCGAAACCCTGCTCCCGGAGACCCACTATCCAGCAAACGTTTATTTCCAACCGGCTTTAGCTCACCTGCATGTGTACGTTCAAGTGATCCTAAAGAGCTTGATTAGCTGCGTCAGGTGTGTTTGATTAAGGTAGTAGCTAAACTCTGCAGGACAGTTGGTTCCCAGGACCAGGGTTGACCTCTGACCTCTGCTATTTTGTAATTAGACACTGCATAAGAGCGTTGATTAGGACAACATACAACAGTGACTACATTTACAATACCGAATGGTCACGAGTGCCCCTAGCTATGAGCCGGTTGAGCGCAGTATAGACAACATTGCTTTCATCCTTCAGTGCAGGAGTCACCCTTCCTATCTGCATGGGTTCTAGAGTAGGAGGAATAAACTAGCTGTCTTTACCTCAAGTGAATATCCTACCACACGCAGACACATCTATCAGTGCTTCTAGATTTCACACAGCCTCACACATAGCTCGTGTCTTATCCATCATAAGCCAATTCTGGAAAGCTACTTTCTGGTCCTAAACTGGATAGCGTATTCATCTACACTGCGGCTGCCCAGCTAGAGATGAAGGCAGGACTTGGACACTTCACGGCAGGAGACAGTAGCGTCAAATACAGGCTTAAACTTGGCACAGAACAAACCTCACACAAATCTGTCACCCACGACAAGGCACTTCCGGAAAGGAGAGTCATGATTTAAGTCATATTTGACTGGTTCAAGGGGAAGGAGGATGGCTGAAGATCGAACATCAGGGTACACTGGGTCAGGAACCTACGACAGGCACTAGGATCACCAGAGAAGCGTTGGGGGAAGGTTAGAGGCAAGGCTCTGTGGCCACATTGGGTATGAGGTGCTGGAGAGGCTGGAGCCGCTGAAGAGTTGGGTGAGATTTGAGGAGAAAACAACGAGTGCAACTGGTGAGAGCACAGTCATTAAATCCTCCTTTTCTCTACTGCGCTCATCTTTTATCATCAAAACAACTCTGGTAAGTCGAAAGCAATAAACAAACATGTTGAGTCACAGCATATTCTCCGGTTATTGTTACTTGCACCGCCTGCCACGTTTAGGGTTTCACATGTGATAAATGCAGGGAGATAGTCAGGCTGACGGAGAACATTTCAGAACTAGAGACACGCATCCAAACTTTAATCGAGGATAGTACGAATGCAAAGGCTCTAGATAATGCTTTGGATGCGACTAGCTTAACGAACCCAGTACATTTGTTTGGTAATATACTCTGATACATAGCAGACTGTCATAACTTAATGGCTGTCTAAGTGATGTCTGCAGAATAACATCGGTTTCATAGACAATTGGAAAAGTTTTTGGGGCAGACCTGAGATGTTGAAAAGAGATGGTATTCATCCCTCCTGGGCTGGTGCTGCTCTTCTCTCTAGTAATATGGCATTTAGTCTTAGAGCTCAAACATGACAGTCTGAGGCTCAGGTCAGGAAGCAGACAGACTGGCTAAACCGACCGTCTGCCAGCTGTCTCACGTCACTGAGGTCAGATAAATCCCATCACATAGAGCCTCTTTCACCTAGATATCATCATATAGAGACACTGTGTCTGTTCCCCGAATTAGGAAATACAAAAAACTCCTAAACATTTTATTGATGTTCAACAAATAAAAAGCAGATATAATACGGATCAACAAATGATAAAGGTCGGGTTGCTGAATATTCAATCCCTTACTTCAAAAGCACTTATTGTTAATGATATGATTACAGATTATAACCTAGATGTGCTGTGTATGACAGAAACCTGGCTAAAACCAGACGATTACATTGCTTTAAATGAGTCCACCCCGCAAGATTACTGTTGAACGGTTAAACATGAACCTTGTCTGAAAGGCAAAGGGGGAGATGTTGCTGTAATTTATAGCAATATCTTCAGAATTACTGAGAAGTCTTGTTTCAATTATTTTGAAGTGTTGGTGCTTTAAGCTATCTAGTGTAAGTGATAAATCCCGATTGACATCATCATGATGCATTCGGAAAATCTCAGAATTTGATCCACCACGATGCATCGATTTACTGTCCCAGCCCTACAATTAAACATTTTATACATTTTTAAATCTCGCTGAGTACTTACAAAGCACTACATGGTTTAGCTCCGCAGTGCTTGAGCGAGCTCTTAACGCATTATAGTCCTTCACGTCTATTGCGATCTCAAAATTCTGGCCAGTTGATAATACCTAGAATATCTAAATTGTCTGCTGACGGTAGATCCTTTTCCTATTTAGCACCAAAACTTTGGAACAATCTTCCTAACAGACTAAAAATGCTGTATTATCCAGGTCAGAAAAGTAATTGGCGATGTCACTTTTTAAAGAAAGACTACACGCCTGCGCATATATATTCAAACGCGCATACCTATAGACTAAACACGTAATATCCATGTGCACGCCGTCACCGTTTTCACAGATTCATGTTTTTGAAGTTTACACAGAGATGACAACGGTATCGTTTTCAAAATTGTGAAAAAAACCCACAATTTCGGTATTGTGTTCTCAGACCACCAAAATGTCGTTGTGTAAATCAATGGCCAAAATGCATTAAAAGTTTTCTTTCTTTTTTGTTGAAAACGGTGTAGTGTAAGTGACCCCATTGGTTAATTACTAATGATTTTTACAACGAAAATGAATCAATCGAAAACTTACTTCAGCTGAACAATGACTTTCTTCTAGAGCTGCTGTAAAGCCAAAACAATCTTTGTCGCATTAATTTCCTATTATCACTGTAAAGCTGCTTTGAAACTATCTTTATTGTAAAACGTGCTATATAAATAGGTGACATGATTTAGTCAAGGCTGTAAAACTAGAGGTATTTCGCATTGCATGGAAGGATAGTTTTTCTGCCTACAGAAAGGCATTACAAACTGCTAGATCTACTTAATTTGCGGCGACTCTTAGAAAGAAAAACCCCCACAACCCTAGGTATTTATTTGATACAGTGGCTAAATTAACGAGAAATAAAGCTTCAACCCCAGACGTTTCCAAACAGCACAGGAGTAATAGCTTTATGAATTTCTTTACTTGTTAGATTGATACTATCAGAGAAAGAATTATAAGCATGCAACCACCTACTAATGTATAGCATCAGACAGTGCATTGTAGACTGCCTAAGGAACCATTTCAAAACATTATTTTTTTGCTATAGAAGAACTGTCTAAACTTGTTGAATCATCGAAATAAACAACATGTACTGTATATGTTAGACCCTATATGGACCAATCTACTGAAAGAGCTACTGCCATTTTTAAAAGGCTGTGTACACACACAGATTATAGACTATATATTAACTCCACAAACTAACTATACAAGCATGGAATACAGTGATAGATTGACCACTCGACCCCTCAACCTTTACACCAAGAAGAATATACAACACAACTTTGGACCAAGCAAAACATGATAATGTATTTCTGCTCAGCTAGTGACATTGGACATCAACCCCACGGCATACACTAATACCTTTTCATAAACTGTCTACTTTCTTTGTATAACAGTTCTATCTAATAACGTATTAGACAGGACTGTTAAACAGATCATAAATTAATGGAGAATGTGAGCGATGTGTGCGTTGGGTTCTGGTTTTCTCAGCGCCATCAAAATAAAAGTCACAACAACAAGCGTGGCTTACGTCTCTTCAGAGTTCCTACTGGCAGTGCGAACGCAACCAGGAATTAGTTCTCAGGGAACCACCCTGGTGGCTCGTTCCTATAACTGAGTTCCTAGAACTACCCGGTGTGAAAGCCCCTATTAACTGCATATATTTTAAAACCCTGCTGATTACTTATAAAGCCCTGAATGGTTTAGCTCCCCAGTACTTGAGCGAGCTCTTAACGCATTATAACCCTTCATGTTTGTTGCAGTCTCAAAAATCTGGACAGTTGTTATTACCTAAAATATTAAAATCGACTGAGGGTGGTAGATCCTTTTCCTATTTAATGTTCAAACTCCTGGCATTGTTCAGGAAGCGGACACACTCGGTTTAAACTCAGTTTAAATCTAGACTAAAAACACATCTCTTTAACCTGGCATAAAAATAACACACTATAAAATTTCTTTCATTCAAATCCATTAAAGGATTATTAGTCGGCATGAATTAGGTCAACCGGAGCGGGGAACACTTCCTATCACACCAGGTGTACTTGTTACATTGTAAAACGAATGGCGTCATTAGCCTGATCACAGACACAACCACAGACATCAGTAGCCTGTTAGACAGGACAACAACGCATGATGTAGTCAGCCGGATCCGGGCCGTATCCAGATCAGATGGAGGACCTGCGCCTAGACACGACCACAACGCATGATGTTGTCAGCCGGATCCGGGCCGTATCCAGATCAGATGGAGGACCTGCGCCTAGACACGACCACAACGCATGATGTATTCAGCCGGATCCGGGCCGTATCCAATCAGATGGAGGACCTGCGCCTAGACAGGACAACAACGCATGATGTAGTCAGCCGGATCCGGGCCGTATCCAGATCAGATGGAGGACCTGGGCCTAGACACGACCACAACGCATGATGTAGTCAGCCGGATCCGGGCCGTATCCAGATCAGATGGAGGACCTGCGCCTAGACATGACCACAACGCATGATGTAGTCAGCCGGATCCGGGCCGTATCCAGATCAGATGGAGGACCTGCGCCTAGACACGACCCCAACGCATGATGTAGTCAGCCGGATCCGGGCCGTATTCAGATCAGATGGAGGACCTGCGCCTAGACACAACCCCAACGCATGATGTAGTCAGCCGGATCCGGGCCGTATCCAGACCAGATGGAGGACCTGCTCCTAGACACGACCACAACAAATGATGTAGTCAGCCGGATCCCGGCCGTATCCAGATCAGATGGTGGACCTGCGCCTAGACACGAC